ATGATTTAGTAAAACAAAGAACATGGTAAAAAAAGGTTTTGCTGCATAACATTCTGAGGGCAGAACTCCCTGACAATTGAATTAATAATACTAAGAAGCTGTTGTTTTAAACAAATAAATTACATTTTAAACCTGGTTGAGAGCATCTCCTGCCTAAGCAATAAGGTTAAAAATAGCAAAGAGGTATAATTAACCTTAAATGACATTTCATGATATTTATCGAATTTATACTAGCGTAAAATGACAATTGTGAACCTGGAAATAGGGAAAGGGTTGCTGATTGTGGCTATGTTCACATTAGAACTTTATTTCTGGTTTATTGCTGAAGGAACCAGCCTGGAACCGATCTTGCCACTGCACAGTACTTCATTACTGGTAGTTTCATATTAAATCCAACTGGGTTACCACTAAAACAGATTCGCCTCCTGGTGCCCTCCAGAGTGTATTACAATTCCCATAATTCCTAGGCACCTTGACCAAGAACAACATATCACATGTAAAGGGCACCAAGTTGGGTAGGCTGCTTTTAAGAGATTTTATGTGCCTTGTTTTCATAGAATCATACAGTTGGAAGAGGCCTAGCAGGCCATCAGGTCCAACCGCATCGTCAATGCAGGACTCACGTCACCCATCCAGATTTCAAGTTTAGGCAGCATCAGGCACTTCAGGCTGTACGGAAGATCCAAACGTGGTTTCAAGCACACCCACGGGGATGTTCAAAAGGGATGACCGATGTGATCAAAAGAAATAACGCCTGCTCCTCATGATTTCTCATGCAGCTGTACCTTCTGCCAAACCATTGTCTTCACTTGGGCAGAAGTTTTGGCAAAAACCAATGCTCCAGCTTCATTCACACGTCCATCCTGTGAATGTCTATCATCTCTTTCAGCCAGAAACCATATGGTTCCCAAATTCAGAGAAAAGAAATGCTTGGGTAGCAAACTTGAATCAAATGTAGCTTCCTCTGTACTTCCTTACACACTGGAAAATAGAAGTTTGTACTTGCAAGAGTAACTGCATGCCTTTAAATTGTAATCATCTTTTCTCGTGATGGGGATCCCTTGCCCATGCTTCTTTAGTACCACCCTATTGATTAGAGGTCCTCTACATGGGGAGTTTCTTAAATGGAGGACTCTGTGGGCAAAAGCCTTGTAGGGTGCAAGAAACAACAATGGGATTTTACATTAGAGAGGCCTACCTAACTCTCCTACCTTGCTGTAGACAAGGATGGGAGCCAAAAGCATTTTGGGTCTAGCAGATCCAGCTCTATTCTCCTCCTGGCCTGCTACCTTGCTCCCCAAATGGCCATTTCCTCCCTTTCAGAGTTTGCAATGCTTTCTGCAGCAGCCATGGGACAGGGCAGCAAGGGGATCCATGATCAAATCCCATCTTCCCAGGTCATTTATCTACAGCATCTTATGGCTGCTCAGACACTGTCTCGGGACCATAGAACTGCTCTGTAAAATTGACGTTCATATCAAACCGGGCAGGATTACTGGCACTGGGGTTTGTTTTGGTATAGAGATGACTTAACTCTCGATCACATTAACCCTCTTTTCCTTGCTTTTCAATTCATCTGTTATATTTTCATTCCATCTTTTCCTTGAGAGAAACCTGAGGTGATTGCCCCTCTTCATTTTTACAACAACTCTGCAAGATAGCTTCAACTGAGAGTCAGTGACTAACTAATAGTAACCTAATCAGCTTTATGACTGAGAGGGAATTTGGTCTCCTGAGTCCCAGTCCAATGTTCTAATCTTTATGCTATCCTGACTCTCTGCTTTTGACCATATACTACTTTTAATTTATGTTTCCACCATGCCCTCTGTGTGGTAATCTAGGATTCCCTGACTCTAATATGAACTCAAATACCAGCGAGAAGCCAATTCTCCTTTAGTACACAGAAATCAGATTGACTTATGTGCTCTGCAGCCAAAGTGGAGAAGCTCTATACAGTCAGTAAAAACTAGACCAGGAGCTGACTGTGGCTCAGATCATGAGCTTCTCATTGAAAAATTTAGGCTTAAATTGAAGAAAGTAAGGAAAAGCACTAGGCCACTCAGGTATGACCTAAATCATACACTGATGAATATAGAGTAGAGGTGACAAATAGATTTAAGGAATTAGATCTAATAGACAGAGTGCCTAAAGAACTTTGGCGGAGGTTTGCAACATTGTACAAGAGGTAGCAACTAAAACCATCCCAAAGAAAAAGAAATGCAAGAAAGCAAAATTTCTTGCTAAAGAGAAAGCTTTACATATAGCTGAGGAAAGAAGGGAAGTGAAAGGCAAGAGAGAAAAGGAAAGATACACCCAACTGAACGCAGAATTCCAGAGAATAGCTAGAAGAGATAAGAATGCCTTCTTAAATGAACAGTGCAAAGAAATAGAAGAAAACAATAGAATAGGGAAGACCAGAGATCTCTTCAAGAAAATTGGAGATATGAAGGGAACGTTTCATGCAAAGATGGGCATGATAAAGGACCAAAAAGGCAGGGACCTCACAGAGGCAGAAGAGATTAAGAAGAGGTGGCAAGATTACACAGAGGAACTATGCAAGAAAGAGCTTAACATCCCTGACAACCACGATGGGGTGGTCGCTGACGTCGAGCCAGACATCCTGGAATGTGAAGTCAAATGGGCCTTACGAAGTCTGAGCAACAACAAAGCTAGTGGAGGTGACAGTATTCCAGCTGAGCTATTCTATTCAAAATCTTAAAAGATGATGTAGTAAAAGTGCTACACTCAATATGCCAGCAAACTTGGAAAACTCAACAGTGGCCACAGGATTGGAAAAGGTCTGTTTACATTCCAATCCCAAAGAAGGGCAATGCCAAAGAATGTTCAAACTACCACACCATTGCACTCATTTCACATGCTAGCAAAGTTATGCCCAAAATCCTACAAGCTAGGCTCCAGCAGTATGTGGACCAAGAACTACCAGACGTACAGGCAGGATTTCAAAGAGGGAGAGGAACTAGAGATCAAATTGCCAACATACGCTGGATCATGGAGAAAGCTAGGGAGTTCCAGAAAAACATCTACTTCTGCTTCATTGACTATGCTAAAGCCTTTGATTGTGTGGATCACAACAAATTGTGGCAAGTTCTTAAAGAGATGGGAGTACCTGACCATCTTCTTTGTCTCTTGAGAAACCTATATGCGGGTCAGAAGCAACAGTGAGAACTGGACATGGAACTACTGATTGGTTCAAAATTGAGAAAGGAGTTCGGCAAGGCTGTATACTGTCGCCCTGCCTATTTAACTTATATGCAGAGCACATCATGAGAAAGGTGGGGCTAGATGAATCACCAGTTGGAATTAAGATTGTTAGGTGAAATATCAACAACCTCAGATATGCAGATACCACTCTCACCTAAAGCTCTTGATGCAGGTGAAGGAGAAGAACACAAAAGTTGGCTTGAAACTCAACATTAAGAAAACTAAGATCATGCCATCCAGTCCTATCACTTCCTGGCAAATAGAAGGGGAACAAATGGAGGCAGTGACAGATTTTATTTTCCTGGGCTCCAAGATCACCGCAGGCGGGGACTGCAGCCAAGAAATTAAAAGGCACTTGCTCCTAGGGAGGAAAGCTATGGCAAATCTAGACAGCATACTAAAAAGCAGAGACATCACCCTGCCAACAAAAGCATGTATAGTCAGGGCTATGGTTTTCCCTTTTGCAATGTATGGCTGTGAAAGCTGGACCATAAGGAAGGCTGAGCGCCGAAGGATTGAGGCCTTTGAATTGTGGTGTTGGAGGAGACTCCTGCGAGTCCCTTGGACCGCAAGGTGATCAAACTGGCCAGTCCTAGAGGAGATCAACCCTGACTGCTCTTTAGAAGGCCAGATTCTGAAGATGAAACTCAAATACTTTGGCCACCTAATGAGAAGGAAAGACTCCCTGGAGAAGAGTCTGATGCTGGGAACAATAGATGGCAAAAGAAGAAGGGGATGGCAGAGAATGAGGTGGCTAG